TCCACTTAACTAGTTAAAAGTTCGACGTGAACCACTCAATTATAGCTAGTTAAAGGAATTAAGTCACTTAAGTTAAGTGACTTAACTTTACTAGAATAACGGTAAATTAACTTGATTAACGGTAAAGTCGGCTCGGATTACAAGGACACGATTACGTAACGTAGGCATCTAAGCCAGCGTTGTTGTATTGTACCACCATTATCATCATCTTCTGGCTGGCAACAACATACTCCAACAATGCTAACAACAGCATCGAAGTAGTCTCATTAGTCTGGTTTTCGGAAATTATTTGTAATATTATGGGTAAAAACCCAGCAAAGGTCCATTTTACGAATAGTCGATATTCCAATGACCTTTGCCCTTTGCATCATCGACCAAGTAATAACGTTAAAAAGTCCGATTGCGTACGTTTTTCAAAGTGATAATGTATATTTTTCTTAATAATAAAATCAGATTTGTTGTATTTATTTATTGACAATTCGATCTTTCCATTTCTGAAAGATAATTGTCTCAGCTATAACATACTCACAGGTGGAAGACAATCGATCAAGAATAAACAAGATGCGTTCAAATAAGTTGAAAAATAATAACGTCATAAATAAAATTTCAGTTTTTTTGAAATTTGATAGCAATATGATGACGTCACAATGTCCGATCAGTCATAATGATCTATAAAATCATATCTACAATTCATGTGCTTTCAGAATATGTAACAAAAATTAGGGGTTACCCTTCATCCTAAGGAGCTGTAACTGATTAAAAGTAGGCATAATTTTAAGTATTCATAATAGTTGACGCATGCGTCAACGGAAAAGTCGCGTGAACGGAAAATTAATGTACCTGACATTCAACCTTGACGTGAAGATTATACTCACTTAATATGATTCAGAAATGTCGAATGGTTAAGATGATATGGGTTCATCAACGTTTTGAGGAAAGAAAGATGTGGGGGTGGGGATCAGAAAAAACAATTTGTTAACCATGATGACGTCATCAAAATGTAAAAAGAAGTCAAATATATGAAAGAAAATTGCCTCAGATATAACATACTCAAAGTTGGAAGACGATTGATCAAGGATAAGCGAGATACGCTCAAATGCGTATTTTAACAAAGGACGTCATAGTTAAAAAATAATTTTTTCTGATTTCAAATGGCAATATGATGACGTCACAATGTCGGATCAGCCATTATGATCTATAAAATCATATCTATAACTCATGTGCTTTCAGAAAATATAATAAAAATTGGGGTCACCTTTCATTCTAAGGAGCTATAATTTATTGAAAATAGGCATATTTTTGGCCTATTTTTGCTCTATGTCGGAAAAAACGCGCACATGTGCTCTTATGTTCTATGCGCGCG